TTATCTGCTTATCAGCTACTTGTCAGCAAACAGCTCTGAATGCAATAGATGCATGTTGATTACTGTTCAAAAATAGCTATCACTGAGTTTCCTTTTATTAATCTAAATGTTAGGATAATTTCATCTCTTTTTCTTTAAGTTATAATTTACCCTCGGTTTTCCTTACAGACCTTTCACTGTCCTAGACCCTAATTCATATGTTCCAGTGAGACATTCCGACTTCTTTTTGTTTCTGCACTGGACCTCTTTGAATATGCCCCATTTCACCTCTGATTTGGTTTTGCAGAATCTGCTTTGTGCCTCAGTATATCCCTTAGCCCTGTGCCTCTGCAAACTTCTAGAAGCTGCTTCTCTGTTGTGTAGTTTACAGCTATGGCATCTAAATACCACAAATGAGGTGACCACAGACAGAGCCCAACACATTCATCTTCTCTATGTTCATTTTTCCTTCGTTTGTTTCTTTCTTCCTCTTTCTCATATTTACTTGCCCCAAGAACATGCCTACATTTTTACCTTTCCCCCTCACTTCTCTTCCACTCCCATGACAAGGTCACAGTAGAGAAGGTTGCTCCTTCAGGAGGGGACCTTATTAAACTTGGTAGGCCCTAAATGTCACTCTAGGATGCTGTCTGGGCTCTTCCTAACCACAACTCTTTTGTGAACCCTTCCTGCTCCCTGAAGTGGAGAGCATCACCTCAGCTTTTGTTAGCCATAGTTTATAGTTGTTTTGGCAGAGAAATATTCTTTTACCAAACCAAATCCAATTACCCCAGTGTGCTGGTTTTGGCTGGGGTAGAGTTTATTTTCTTCATAGTAGCTAGCATGAGGCTATGTTTTGGATTTGTGCTGGAAACAGTGTTGATAACACAGGGATGTTTTCCTTACTGCTGAGCAGTGCTTACACAGAGTCAAGGCCTTTTCTGCTCCTCACCCCACCCCACCAGCGAGTAGGCTGGGGGTGCACAAGAAGCTGGGAGGGGACACAGCTGGGACAGCTGACCCCAACTGACCAAAGGGATTTTCCATACCATATGACGTCATGCTCAGCATATAAAGCTGGGGGAAGAAGAAGGAAGTGGGGGGATGTTCGGAGTGATGACGTTTGTCTTCCCAAGT